ACACCAGCCCTCTCTCTGAGATTCATCAGACTTTTCCATGCTTCTGTGTCTCTGGATCTGTTTTGTTCATTAGATTCCACATATGAGTGAGATCATGTGACACTTGTCTTTCTCTGACTGGCTTATTTTGCTTAGCATAATACTCTCCAGGTCCCACCATGCTGTCTCAAAGAGTAAGGAATCCTTCTTTATAGCTGCATAATATTCCATGGTGTAAATGTCCAAGAAGATGCCTGATACGATTTCAGTCTTCTTGAGCTTATAGAGACTTGTTTTGTGTCCTAACATGTGGTCTGTCTTTGAGAATGTCCCACATGCGCATAAGAAAAATGTACATTCTGCAGCTTTAGGGTGAAAGTTCTGTAAATGTCAATTAAATACATCTGATCTAGTGTGTCCTAACATGTGGTCTATCTTTGTGCGTTGGCCCTTTCAGAGGGTGCCTGCATTTCCAGCCATCTCTCCCTGGCAGACACAAACCTGACTGCTTTTCACAGCCAGATGTTATGTGGGCACCTCTCTCAGTGCTGGTGCTCTGGGCTGGGGAGCCCCGCTTGGGATTTAGACCCCAGAGTTCTCAGTGGGAACCCCCCACAGCTGAGATAACCCTCCAGACCTTCAGCGGCTGCCTGTGGGAGCCCAGCCAGCCCCCTCACCTCCACACTTCCTACCAGTCTCTATGAGGTCTCTGCTTTAGGTCCTTCATCATGAGGATGCTCTCCAGCTCGTCTTTAGTTGCAGTTGATTATTCAGAGTGGTTTTCAGTGTTGTAATTCCAGTTTGCTCCTGGGAGAGTGTCAATGTAGCTTTCACTCAATCCACCTCCATCTTGGATCTCCCAGAGTTTATACTTGTATTATTATTTTTAATTATTTTATTATTTATTTGTGTTACAAACATAAACCCACCCCATGCATACAACAATGAACTCAAAATGGATCAAAGACCTGAATGTAAGACCTAAAACTATAAAACTCTTAAGAGAAAACATAAGGATACATTTTCATGATCTTGGATTAGGCAATGGTTTCTTAGATATAACACCAAAAACACAAGGGACAGAAGAAAAAATAAATTGGACTTCATCAAAATTAAAAACCTTTGTGTTTTAAAAGATCTATCAAGAAAAGGAAAAGACAGCCCACAGAATGGGCAAAAGTATTTGCAAATCATATATATGATAAGGGTATAGTGTTCAGAAGATATAAAGAATTCCTACAATTCAACAACAAAAAGACAAATAGCCCAATTAAAAATAGCCAAAGGAATTAAACAGACATTTCTCCAAAAATGTCTAGTTATACAAGTGGCCAATAAGCACATGAAAAGACTCTCAATATAATTAGTCACAAGGGAAATGCAAATCAAAGCCAGCATGATATACAACTTCATATTTACTAGGAGGGTGGTAATAATAATAATAACAACAGAAAATAACAAGTGTTAGTAAGGATGTAGAGAAATTAGAACCCTGTGTTGATGGGAATGTAAAATGGTGCAGCTACTGTAGAAAATAGTTTGGCAAATCTTCAAATGTTAAACATAGAATTACCATATGATCCAGCAAATCTACTCCTAGGTATATACTCAAAAGAAGTAAAAACGGATGCTCAAAGGAAAACTTGTACACGAATGTTTACAGTAGCACTATTCATGATTACCAATAGTTGGAAATAACTGAAATATCAACCGGCTGATGAATGGGCTAACCAAATGTGGTACATCCATTTAATGGAATATTATTCAGCCATAAGTAAGAATGATCCATGGTACAACATGGACAGATCTTGAAAAAATTATGCTAAGTGAAAAAGACAAAGTCAAAAGACCACATATTGTATGACTCTATTTATATGTAATCTCCAGAATAGGCAAAACCGTAGAGAAAAATAGATTAGTAGTAGCCAAGGGCTGTGGAGAGGGGCAATTGGGAGTGCTAACTGGTACAGGGCTACTTTTTGGGGTGATAAAATATTTAAAAATTAGCTAGTGGTGATGGTTGCACAACTTTGAGAATATACTAATATCCACTGAATTGTACACTTTAAAATGGTGAATTTTGTGATATGCAAATTATATATCAATAAAGCTGTTATTAAAACAACAGAATATTATAAGTAGCTTTTTATATTGTTATAAATATATTTGACAACTTCAATGAAAATATTCTTTGAGTCACTAAAACTAATAAAGTAGTCTCAAGAAATAGTAGATAACCTGAATCATAAACCATGATTATATAATTTGACAAAGGTTTCATTTAGTAAGTAGCCTATTTAAAAATTGAATTTGAAGTTAAGAACCTTCCCACAATGAAAACCCCAGATCTAAATATCTTCCCTAATAAACTCTACCCAATATTTAACAAAGAAGTAATGTCAATTCTATAGAAACTTCTCTAGAAATTGAAGACAAGAGACTACATCCCAAATCAACATTACTCTGATACCAAAACCAGACACAAATATTACAAGAAAAGAA